CTTGTAGTGATAAGAAATGAGTATTGTGAACTCTTACTTCGGCCATTGACCTCAAATAGCCTATCTCTAGAATCCGTTGAACGACGTTGGTGGGAATCCACGGCGCTTGACGGTATACTCAACTGCTTCAAATGAGAGGGTTCTAATTCTCCTATCGATTCCTTGAACATTTTCGTCATCACCTTTCATCTTTCATTAATTTACCAATTTTCTTCACCTCCGTCATCCGCAGGTAGATTTAGCGAGATTGGATAGTTTTTCTAACTTACCCTTTCCCTCACTCCCCTCCACTCCCAGATATCTTTTGGACCTTTAAAAGGAGCTTGTGGCCTTCACAAATGCGAACATCTAAGTTCAGATCAGGAAGTTCAAATCCATTTAAGCGTGCGAGCGGTTATCTATTAAATGGACAGGAACACTGGACTAAATGACCGCTGGGACACTTAACTCTCTCACGAGGTGAAACATTCGGCGAGTGGCCAATTGCTTTCGACGAGGCATGAATAAAGGCCGTCAATGTAGCATTTCGCCCGAAATCAACAGACACCAGAGATTAACCGAAATTCCCCTTCGCCTTTCTTCGCATCGAACACTTTCCATTAGGCACGTTACGGAAGGAATATCAAATCGAGAGGATGAATCACACGGCACTCACTTAAAACTTGACGGTAACAGCTCCACCATGTCCGGTTCAGGTGGCTTGTCAAGACCGGAAGGGCCATGCAGGGCGCAGCATTGTTGTGTGATTCACATAGGTCGTATTTGGTCGTTGTTGGGAGCGGGGGGAGGGGGGGGGGGTAGTATGTAGTTTTGAGAAAAATTTACCGTGTTGGGAAAAATTCTCGGTTGCTGAGTTTTCGTGGTTTCCCGTTTCACATTGGTTATACACCCCCGTCTCCCTCAGCGGAAAATTTTTATTATTAAGTTAAAAACTGGGAAATGTGGGGAAATTGGTTGTTTGGTGTTAAATGTGGCAAAACGGGTTGTCAGGTTTTGGGTAAGGGGGAGGGTCGCAGGGTTGTTAGGTGTTGGGGACAGGGCACGCCATTGCGTTGTGATCATTTCCTGAAAAATACGACCCCCCTGACTGATTCCATCTTCAAGTACGAC